TGTATTGATTTGCTCTAAAACAAGATCGTATATCTTAGGTAGAGTTAAATTCGGCTTTTGTAAAAATCTGGTAGATTATTCTTATTGGATGGTTCCAGGAAATGATTAATGAGCTGTTTTGAATGTTATTTTAATTGAAAATTACATGAGAATAGTATATTATATGCCTAAGACGATCCAGCATTGAAAGGGTTACTCAGTTGATATAACTGTTAGCTAAGGTTTTATGGCTTTTCGCTGGAAGTTTAGCTTCTGTGTCTGTGAAGTACCCTCATAAATCGTGTAAGTCTTGACAGTTGATGCTGTTAGCCATTGGATTGTTTTAACATTGCCATTGTATTGCATACTTATGTTATACTAAATATTCACTGATTATTATCATGCATGGTTCCTAATATTATTATTATTTTATTTGTCACAATAAATTATATCTATTTTTATAACAAATTGTAATTTTATTTATATGGAATACATTTCACTTACATGAGGATCTCTAAGATCTAAGAGAATTGAAATAGTGGGCAATTCGCAACTGTACAATATTATCATCCCATAAATATCCCCACAAATTGGAGGCACACTGCTGAGATCATTAAATTGAAATTATATTCCATACAATAATTCTGAGGCGTTGCTATTGGTGTAATTCATGCAATATTTTGTATTGACGTTAAATCAGTGTGTAGAAATATGGCTGAATCCAGCACTTCATCTCAATCAGAGAGTGGGAAGAAGTTATTAGACATGCAAGTTTTTCCCTTACGCATCTTATATAAGCATCTAAAGATTAAAATGGATTATAAAGAGTGGGTATTCCAAATTAGAGAACAAGTTTATAATTCGATTCATGATAGATCGGGTAATTCACATATGGTTAAACATGTTAGCAACATAGACGAAGACTCTACAATGCAGTCTGTTACCAAATCATGCCCGTTTTTCATATTGGGTTAATCAATTATGTTAAAAAAGCATAATGAGATAGAATTTAACTTGGACGAGTGTAAGAAAGATCTGGTGCTCGAACAAAGAAGGTTCAACACTTTGTCTGATGAAAATAATATCCTTCAGGCTAAAAACTCTGACCTTTCAAATAGACTGGAAGGAATGAGCAAACTGATGGATGATTATGAACAGCAGATAAAACAGATACAGATACAGTTAGATGAATATCATAAGGAAAGTGAAAAACCAATGGGAAAAGACTCAGACGATTCTTCACAATTCCCTGATATTCGCAGATCAGACCAGGTTTCCCTAAAACAGTCTCAAAGAAAAGATGTGAGTAATTCTGAGAAATCACCTGTAGAACAAGATTCCCCATCTCAAACCATTGCCAAACAATCATGGCAATCTTGGGCAGAACAGTTTGAAAAGACTGTCTTGGCCAAGCTTGAGCGGGAGAGTCCAGTTGAAGGTGGTAGGAATGAAAACAGACCTGGTTCTGTGCACTGCCAGAACTCTGATGCTGATCAGAATTGTGACAGTGAACGAGAAGCTCAGAGTGATGGGAGTGAAAGTGATTGCACTGTCCACTCTGAAGGCCATGTGACTGATATGCCCTCTGCACCGTTGTACGGATCTAATTCCTCTTCAGCAGCCAGATCGCATAGACGTTTACCAAAAAGAAAGGAAAGTAGAAACTATCGTAAATCAACGACACCTTTCTTTGAAACGCCAAAGGTTATTAAATTCCTCAAAGAGACAGTCCCACAATTTTCTAGAAGTTCAGGAAACATATCTGAACATCTGGAAAATTATGAAAGAGCCATGAATTCATTGGGCATGTATGATGACATCCAAAAGAAATGGTTCATCACATGGACCTTTGATTCAATGTGCCGTGTTTATCTAGAAAGTCTTCAAGTTATACAGCTAATGTCCTGGTCCAAGATGAAATAATCATGGAATATGGTAAGTATAAAACCATTGCTTCTGCTAAGAAAGCGCTTTATAACTTAAAGTGCTGTCCAGATCAAAGCCCCAGAGAATTTTTAATAATTCTTAAAAATACATATTCCATGGCCCAAAGGAAACCCAGGTATGAAAGTACAGACTTCAAAGATCTGTATTTTCATGCCATACCGGTAAACATACAAATGAATCTCGCGAGAGTTACCATTAGAATGGCTAGTCAGTCAGTGCATGAAATTGTATACTATATACCATGCACATGACGAAAATCAGCCAAAGGTTAAGAAACCTGGTGACAAAATGGTGTCAGAGACTAAAATTCAGTTAGGTTTAGAAACCCAACAGAAAAAGAGGACCTATTCTGAGGTTTTGAAAACTCCAAAACCTCAGAAACAGGAAAATGCCATAAGCAATACTGTTAATTCCTCTGATAATAACTCTGAAAAGTCCAATGCCAATGGGAATAAACGCCCCTGGGTTAATAAGAACCAAGGCAATTCCCAATGGAGAAGGAATCCTCAGGGAAATAGGAGATATGGAAACAGAAACAACCAATCTGCTTCCAATAGCTCCCAACAGTCTCAGCCATCCCATCCAAATTCTAATGGGCAAAGACAAAATGGCAATGGGGGAAATAATTTGCGTCGTCAGGTTGGTCAACTGACCGACCAGATGGGCAAATTAATGGAGGAAATGACAAAGATTAACCAAGTCTTTGCCAGAAATCCTTTTTAAAGGACAGCTCCAATTGCAGAGCCACCTCTGCAACTGCAGCAGCAACAACAGGTGCCGCAGCAATAATAGCTACTGTGACTAAACAGGCTAGGTTGTCAGTAGATGTAATACCTAACCCTGTTTCCTTTCCAGGTACTCACAGTCAAACAAACAATAGTTGTGTTAGGAAACCTATTGCCTACCCCGTCACTTCATTTCCGGGTGAAGGAGGCGCAACGTGTTCCTCTGCGTTTTCATTTCAGCCAAAGGCTAAAATAGCCCCAGCAGCCACTAGTTTCCAGGATCCAGATCAGAAAGGGTTAACTGATGAGATGCCGAACACTAGTTCCCGCTTCACAGTTCAAAATATTCCTATTAAGGATGGGCCTGTGGGTAAGACTGAGCATTCCTCAGTACAGGTAGAAACTACTGCTGTGACAGGTAACGTATGGAAAACGAGTGATATGTTGACACATTCTAACTTCTTATGTGAATTAGAAGAACATGAAGGAAGGTACTACATATCTATAGAAATACAAGATTCACTACCCCAGCCTTTCACAGGGTTAATAGATACTGGTTCACAAGCCACTATCTTATCCAATACCTACTTCCAGCAGGTAATGGACTTAGCAGCAGATAAGCCGAAGCTAAGAGATTTCCCCAATGCTCTGTTGAGTGTAGGAGGAAATGCCCTTCATGTTATTGGCAATACCTGGTTAAAATTTAAAATAGGTAACAAAATATTTAGACACCCGGTGATAGTGGTAGATCTCCCCTATGACCGACTGATTCTGGGTATAGACATACTCAGATACTCAGAAGACTTAACACAATTATTGACTGTGTAAATGGAATTGTATGGTCACAAGCTAAGGTTCCTATAACCTATGAGAAATCACATGTTCAATCTGATCATAATTGCCATGTGATAGAAGAAAGACCTGACTCGATTGAGGTACATTTTAGGAATAGTCAGTCACCTGATGTGACTATCCTGCAGGTGAATGATGCCATCGCATCTGTAGATGAGCATTCCGTAAGAGTTGCTCCAGAGAGGATCCAGAATATCTCTCTGGAAGGTGATGTTTTAACCATTTCTCTCCACAGGGACTATGTTGAATCTGTAAATCTGGCAGGTAATGCTCAATTCCTTGCCAGAATTGAAAGGGTTAATAACAACTTATTCTTTCCTATTCAAATAAATGACTTAGGAAGAAGTAGGAATGCAAAGCTGGACTTAAAGAGTGAGAATAGCTTTATTAACAGAAGTCTGTTAAAGCAGATTGCTAATCCTAAAATGATCAGGTACGCTTCCCCACATGACAGGTGGATCCAGAACCTGGATGGCGAATCAGAGAGTCACAATGTGATAGCAAAATGTTTACTATCTATTGCCATCAGAAATAAGACGGCTAAACATTTATTCCTAGTGATAAACTAATCTCGCTATCAGGTTTACATCGGCAATGATGTCATACATCACTTTGCCATACACCTTGACCTGATTAATTCCAACATGTGGACAAGGTTAAAAGGTAATCCTTGTGGATACCTACACGAGGAAAACGCCCTGAAATCAGGACAAATACTCCCATATGCGGTAAGTATCCAAGTACCTGATGACAAAACCATCCCACAAGGGACAAGTAACTTTCTTTTACCCCTACAGGTCAAGAAGGGTCAGAGATTGGAAAACTCTGATGGCCTAATCTGTTTATCCAACATGATACAACAATCAGGGATGGTGGTAACCCATACACCAATGGTAAGTATTGGTAAGAATCCCACCTATATAATGGTCAACAATGTTACACCCAATACTGTTACTTTACCAAAGGGAACATTATTAGGTCTAGCATTGGATGCTGAGTACTATACATTTGGTTTCCAAAACCAAATTATAGGCCTCATCCCTGAAGAATACTTAACTGAGGACGAAATTGTCGATCAAATATTCCATTCCTCCCCAGAAGGATTATTCACTATCCTATCTGTATATCCCTTCAACGTCGAAGAAGGCTCGTGTAAAATCGAAGAAGCATCAATCACCTTCGATCATCCGCTCAATGAGCAGGAATCACAAGAGTATCACGACCAAAGAGAAAAGGTAAGTCAACACCGAACTGACCTAACTTCTAGGCTTGAAGAAGCTTATGAGATAGGCCAGCCTGAAATCTTTCCAGGATTTCAGGAAAGGCTAGAAGAGCAAATATCTTTAGCTGACGGTTGCTCCAACGATGCTGAGTGGCAACAGCTAAAGGAAATCCTAATAGAATTCCAAGATATTTTTGCCAAAGATTCCTACGACTGTGGGTTAACTGACCTCCACGAAGCCAGAATACAAACTGATCCAAATTTACCACCTGTATTTATCTAACAATATAGACTCCGATTAGCGTCATATGATGGTCTACAAGACATCATTCAGAATTTAAAGGAAAGGGGCATTATACGTCCGGTGCACATTTCGTATAATAATCCGATCTTGGGGATTCTGAAACCTAATGGACAATGGCGTTTATGCTCTGATTTACGACAGCTAAATAAACACGTCTATGTGTCTGGTTGGTACAAATGCAGGGATCCAAAATATTCACTGCCATTAACTGTGCACAGGGATATTGGACTGTACCAGTCCATGATGAAGACCAATACAAATTGGCCTTCACATTTGGAAAGCAGCAGTACACCTGGACCCATATGCCCTTCGGTTACATAAACTCTGGTCATGAATTCGCTGTGTTCATGCATAAAGCTATGCCTGACGCACTCGAGAGAGGAACGTTATCATATGTCAACGATGTCTTGCTGAAAAGCACTTCCTTTGATAAGCATATCATAGAGATTAGACATGTTCTCACTCAGTTAAGAGAGCCAGGGATTAAACTGTCTTTACAAAAAGGCACAATGGTGTCGCACCCATGTCAATTTTCTCGGACATGAGGTAACTTCTGAAGGATTAAATCCCCAGAGGAAGAAGGTTGAAGCTGTAATTAAGGCTAAAACACCTTCAAACATCAGGGAATTAAGATCGTTCCTTGGTATGACTAACTACTCCTGTAAGTTTATAGATAACTATGCAAAAATAACGAAACCACTCTTACACCTGCTTAAGAAGGAAACTACCTCGAACTGGGGGGAGCCTCAGGACCAAGCGGTAAATTAACTGAGGAGGAAGCTCACTCAGGCACCCTGTTTAGCATACCCAGAGGGGGAAAACCCCTCTATCTGGAGACAGGATATACCGATTTAAGCAAAAGTGCTGTTCTGTATCAGAAGCAGGACAGTTTAAACAAAGTTATTGCATATGCTAGCAAGACTTTGTCACCTGTTGAAGTTAAATTCAACACGTGTGAGAAGGCGTTATTGTCGATTGTCTGAGCACTACAAAATTTTCGTAGCTATATCCAAGGTGAGATAATAATTGAAGAAACAACTCACCAACCTCTACAGTATCTGCAGAGTGAAAGAATCAGAGACGGTAATCTCTCTGACAGTCGGATTACTGCATGGACTCTATCCTTACAGGGATGGCCATTAGAAGTCCGTTATAAACATAATAAGAGAAGCCCAGTTGCCCAAGGTTTAGCAGAATTACATGGCTGTACCAGAATTACTAAGAGAACTATAATTCTCCTTGACAAAAGAAATGAAATTAAGGTGGGAAATAGCAACATTGACTAAATATATATAAGAAAAAATAACTCCTAGAGGCCTTAGATTATTCAAAATGCCTACATAAGATACTGAAAACAAACATTTTATGGAAGAATGGTATAACCATTTAGAATTTTGTACATTTGGATTGATGAGAAGTCTCATTAAAGTTGAAAGTGAAAAGCTATCTGTAATCGATAAAAAAATTAATACACTGAGAGAACAATTAATTCCTTTTGGAGATACCGAAGAATACTACAACTCATCACAAAAAATAAAAAAAACTGTAGAAAAAATAAAAATGGATACAAAAAGGATAAAAATTCAAAAATATAATCGAGATAAATACGATTACGCACAAAAACAAGTTCGAACTTATAATATTAAAAAACCAAACACTCAAAACCAATGGAAAAATAGGGATACTTACTACAACTTAAAGACACAGTGTGATTATCAATTTAGAACTAGTAGATTGCAAAATAAGGAACCACATGAAAGAAAAATTTTTCACAATAAAAATAATCGTTGCAAATCACCAATTAAATCCCCTGCAAGACACTACATAAGAAATGATAGATTTCGCACTAAGTATTATGATAATGCTCACTTTCAAAACAAATCTTTTGCAGTCAAATCAAACACACACCACTCAGGAAAAGAGGAGGAACTAGTACGACATAAACACCCCACACACCATGGTTCTCACGAATCACCCCTCATTGTAAGACCAAAAACACTTAGATATACATATATTCCAGATTCCCCTAAACAGAAAACAAGAGATAGAAAATATTCTTGGGAAAATCCGAGGAAATCTTATAAAAGACAAGATGAGGCAAGATTAGTATCACCACATGACCCTATGAAAAACAACAGATACCACGCTCTATCATTTTGTGAACAGTTTGACAAAACCTCTTTTTTAGAAATTCCGTCAAACAGAGAGAGACAGTATTAGAGGAATTCGATACTACATAAAACACCTACTGGCATTTTCAATTTATCAGACAAAGTCTTAAATACAACTGAGATCAATGTTTTAAAAAGAGGTTTAAAATTTGCTCCAACTAAACCTTATAATTCTTTCCTAGATTATATAGATGTGAATAAATTTGTAAGGAATGCCACCTTGAAACGTTTTTATACTAATAAACACACTACTAATATAAGTGCTAATACAGATAATGATAAATTAAAAGAATTTAAAAGCAGTGAACTTAGAAACAAATCCACTTTCTATCCTGCTTATCTCAAATCCAGTGCTCTGAAAATATTTGAAAAAAAGTATGTAAAGACTTAAAAGATTTAGATACCAAAAAAATGAGAGATCAAATATGAATAAGAAAGAAATGAAAATACTTAAAGATTTATATAATGATGCTTCAATAGTAATTAAACCCGCTGAAAAAGGCGGGGGTCTTGTCATCCAATCTAAAGATAAATATGAAACAGAAGCTCTTAGACAACTAAATGAAAGCAAGACATACATCAAATTAAATAAAGACCCGACGGCTGATATAAAACTTCAATTTAGTGCATTTCTAAACAAAGGAAGAGATATGGGAATTCTAAATATAAAAGAATATAATTATATTAATATACAATTCCCTAAAATCACAGTTATATATTTCCTCCCAAAAATTCATAAAAATCTGCATGACCCTCCAGGACCCTCCATAGTGTCGGACAAACAAAATCATATTTAAAAGATATGATAGACCTCCTTAAAAAATTGGAAACTATAACTTGGAAAGAAGATTATATACTTATTACCTATGACGTACAGTCACTGTATACGATCATACAACATGAGAAAGGATGTCAAGCAATAAGATCCATTTTAGAACGAGACGACTCTATATTCCAAGAACAAATTGATTTTATTATTGAAGGCATAGATTTAATTTTAAAATATAATTATTTCTTGTTTAAAGATGGTTTTTATCTGCAAAAAACTGGTACAGCTATGGGTACCAGGTTTGCACCCAGCTATGCCAACCTCTATATGGCGGAGTGGGAGGATCGTTCTGTCTGGAGGGGGCATGGCTGAGTGGATAGCTTGGTATCCTATTCTCGATATATAGACGACCTCCTATTTGTCTGGAAGGGGTCTATTAGTTCAGCTAAGGATTTTATTTCTTTTTTAAATAATAACGAAGAAGGTATATTCCTAACAGCAGATTTTAGCAATACTATGGTTACTTATCTTGATCTAAATATTTATATTAAGGATAATAAAATACAAACAAAAACACACTTTAATGATGTTAATTCAAATAACTATATAAGTATGGATAGCTGCCATAACAAAACATGGCTAGACAGCATACCAAAAAGCCAAATAACGTGTCTTAAAATAAATTGTTCTGACATGTCCATGTTTACGAAACAAGCTAATATGCTAAAAGAAAGTTTTATACAAAAAGGGTACAATAGAGATAATATTGAAACTACAATTAATCAAACAGCTAGATTAAACAGGAACCAACTCATACATAAATGTAAAATTCAAGCGAAACAAACAAATTCTGATTTTACTTTGCCAATTGTGTTAGATTATAATAATAAAAACAAACAATTGAAGAATATTATAAAAAAAATGGCATTTATTGAAAGAAGATGATATTTTAAAAAAAATAATCCCTGATAAACCAAAAATAATATTTAGAGGTCTACCAAATCTTAAGATGCACTTAACAAAAAATTATACGAAGATGAGCCCTAATAAAATTAATAACTTTATGAATAAAAAAGGCTTCTATAAATGCAATTGTTGCAAGGCCTGTACAAAAACAAAAACAACTAAAAGAAATATTATGATACTGGTAAAATATATAATATTAAAGAGGTCATTACATGTAATAGTAAAAACATAATATACCTACTGGAATGCCTGTGTGTCCTCCAATATGTGGGTAGAACTATTAGACCATTAAAAACAAGAATAGCAGAACACTGCAGAAATATAGAAAAAGGTTTAAACAACCACTCAGTACCAGCTCACTTTTGAATGCATAATAATGACCCTAAGCACCTCTCATTTATTGGGATTGCAATTGTAAAAAACCACTGAGAGGAGGAGATGTTAAAAAGATTGGACAAACAGAAATGCAGTGGGTATACCAGTTAAATACTTTACATCCAAATGGGCTAAACGTTGATAATTTTTTATAATGCTTATATTTTAATATATTTTTTAAATACTTATTTTTTATAATACTTTTGGAAATTTTTTTATAATTTTTTACAATTTCTGATGGTTTATTTTTTACTAATATTGTTTTTACCAATCTTTTTAAACCACTCTTCTCTCGTCTAAATATATATTTTTATTCATGGGATTATATGGATATTATGTTAATGTTAATATTTTTAAATGTATTTTTGGATAAAGTTTTTTTAAACCATTCCTGATCATATGCACAATAGGAGAAAGTTCATGTTTAGGGCACATTATTATGTTTGTCTTCATCATAATATAATATTATCTTGTATATTATGGGTTTATATGTAAATGTTTACTATCATTTGTGAGTATTAATTTAATTTGATCCTCTTTTGTTATCTTTGTTATTCTTATGTGTGTAACTCCTTCATGTAAACCAAAAATTGCTAATTATTTATTTATAAATAATATTACTAATTACACTACAGATATTAATATTCAATGTTCTTAATCATCTCTCTCTTTTCCTTTATGCCCACAATAAACATGGCCGCCATGCCGTTTTTGTTAAAGAAGAGCATGCTCACTCTTAGGGGCTTGACCACCTGACATAAGCGCCTGAAACGCAACGCACGCTATTTCTGAGCGATGCGTGCGTTCCATAGGTGGCGCAACAATAATACAGCAGTCAACACACAACGCTGTGTTATTTCCGGTATGACGCGTATATCGCGTCACTTCAGGTATGACGTGTGCATTCCAACGAGAACCA